CCGTAGAGAGCAACGGCACGGGGGAGAAGCTCCCCGGCGCGTCGACGCGATGCTGTGCCGGCACAGCGGGTGCTGCGTGGCGCCCTGGTGGTTCTGCTGCGACGAGGGAGGGCGGGGGGACCTGCTCAGCAGCGAGGAGCCGCCGTCAAGACGCCACCTCAAGAAATCCCAGGAGAATCGCCTGCTGGTGGAGGTCAGTGTGCGAAAGGGGGCCCCGGAGGTCGGACCCCGAGGGGTCAGGGAAGGACGCCCGGCGGTTGTGATGGTGTGTGAGCGGTCGCTCCGCTTTAATCGCCCGGCCTGCGGAAAGCAGCAGCAGCAGCAGGGGGGGGGGGGTCATTTTGAATGGCTTCATCATTCCAGCCTTATCAGTGAGTCACGTCTGCAGGGAGGAGAACCACACGGACCGAACAGGTTAAATATCCACACGTCGGGGTCCAGGTCCACAGTCCCGCTCTCTCCATACGCATGCGTGTGTTTTTTGCGTATGAATACCACCTTAAAGCTCTTCCGCGTGTGTGCGATTGTGTAATAGGTCCCGCTCTAACGAACACGCTGATGCGTCTCTCAGCCGCGGGGTCGGGGGACGCCGTGCAGGGTGCGAGCTGCAGTGTGGCCTGCAGGCTGGTGCACAGCCTGACCTCCGTCATGCACTACAGTCAAACATGCGCGCAGTGCACGTGTTGCTTGTTTGTTTCTCCGCCGTTGTTGTGCAGCCGCCAATCCGCGCGAGGCCTCGGTTCTTATTCAATCAGGCGACTTGATTAAAAGCGAATTATCAGGAGCAGAAATGTGCTGATGTGTTTTGAGTGCAGGTTTACGTGTACGTTGGTAGACCTCCCTGCTAGACGGAGGTCTGTTCTTAGATTTCGGCGTTGTTCGCGAGGAGGACGAACACAACGCGCTGCCGTAAAACCCTCACGGAGGTTATGGGGGTGTTTTAGGTGTTGTTTAGCCCACGTGGCACATTGTCAGGCAGCAGCTAGTGATGCTGTCGTATTGGACGAGTCATATTTAGGAAACCAGCAATTCCCTCATTAAATGGTGCGGAGATAATTATTAGCTTGGTGCTGCTTTGAAATTGACTGCACGTGAACACGCGTGTACACCGCTGTCATTGGCTGGCAGGCGTAATTGCCTTTCTTTAATGTCTTCTGTGTCTTCTCACGGGAGTGAACGCAGATGTTTGGGGACAATCATCACATCACACGTCATTTAGCCGACGCTTTGATCCAAAGCGACTCGCAATCAGTGGATTCAACCACAAGGAAACAAACTCCGAAGAACAAGAAAGTGCAATTTCATCAAATAAGCCAATTTACAATTTGCTGTAGATAAGTGGCGTTACAAGCTTGTTGATTGGCGCTTGGCGTTGCTGTGGCAACCACGCACGGCACACGGCCGATTGGTGGACGAGACGTCGTTATCTCACTTCTCTCAAGTCAGAAGAGACCTTTACACCTTCTCCTAGTTGTGCGTTTCCTTTCCCTGCCTCTCGTCGAGGCCTCGCCTCCTCCTTTTTCTTTCATTCGCTCACCGCCGTGACTGGTTCCCTTTGCTCCCCGTGACCCCCGTCTCCTCTCCCTAATGATCCGTTCCACGGGGGCCATCCATCACCGCTTGCACCACCCGTCCTTCCTCTTCCTCTGCAGCCGTGTGACAGTGTGAGGTTCTTCTCCTCTCCCTCGGGGGGGTGGGGGGGGGGGGGACAACGGCCCATTAATCCAGAGGAAGGAGACGCGCAAAGGGGGAGCCGCGTGGCGTCGTCACCGGCGGCGATGTCGCATTGGACACTCGTTCTCTGGGATGCTGCGGAGAAATCGTCGCACTGGAGGGACGGTTTAGATGTGATCACCGGTTTTCGGAGGTGCTTCTGGCTCGTATTGCTCCCTCTGTACCGACGGCCGAGGCCATTACTGCCGGGACGGACGGGCAGAGGATGGAGGACAAATTAATACAATTGAGATGGGATGACGAGGAACTAAAGACAGGGGGAATGATGCAGTTTAAAGAGAAACTAAAAGAGAGACGGGAGGAAGTAAATAGCTGAGGGTGAGACAGGTGATACAAAGACGTTCTGAGATTGTTTAAACAGGAACTCTTATCTCTAAAAGCCACAACTTCTAGGCCGCTCATTCGAGATAAGTAATAATGGGCCCTTATGCGAGTCCCTGCGCGATAAAACAGTCCGTTAGCCAGCTAGCTGTCAGGATACAGGAACGCACACGATGCTAGCTCACAAGCTAACCGCTAAGATCGACACTAAGAACCACACAAGCTCAACACAGCCTCTTTAGCTGCTGGGCTAACTAGCGACTGGCTAATGTGCTAGCTAGGAAACTACAGAGCAAAAGGGCCACATGTTTATCTATTTCATGTCTTAGAACAATACACTTCAGCGCCGTACGGTTGTTTTGGGTGTAGAAGATTCAATAGTCTCACATTATGAAGGTCCCATGACTACTTTCGCATCATCAAACTACAAATCTGAGCGAAGCCCGATGTCCTGGTCGCTGTCTTCCGTTCATGTGTCCACACACACTTTGGTCTGATCGGGTTGTTTAAACAACATATCTGTCAGTCTTTTGTCGCTGTCTTTATTTGACGGCTGGAAAACAAAATCAATATCCGGGATCAGCGTTTAAAGATTTAGCTTTGTGTCGGTGTGCGTGCCCGTGCGCGAAGGCCCGGGTTGATTACCCATGGTGCATTGTGTCCACTCTGGCGTGCACCCATGAACGGAGAGCGAAATAAACCAGTGCATGAGATGAGCGGAGAGAAATCCGTGGAGTTGAAGCGTCGTCGCGCAGAGACTCTCATGCAGAGACTCTCATGCAGAGACTCTCATGCAGAGACTCTCATGCAGTGTCTCTTCCTCCTTCCACTGATCCACTGACATCTGTTCTCTGTCCCCCCCGTCTCCCCCGTCGCCTCGTTCTCTCCCTCCGGCTCGCTGCAGAAAAGCGTGAAGGAGGGAATCCTGTTAAAGCAGACGAGCTCTTTCCAGAGATGGAAGAGGAGGTACTTCAAACTCCGAGGGAGGACCCTCTACTACGCCAAAGACTGCAAGGTACCAAGTGTCCCGCGTCCTCTGCTCTTTGTCCTCCTCAGAAGAACGAGAGCAATGTGGGACTGATTAAGTCTCTAGATGAGCCTTTCTTCCCCCTCCTGTGATGACTTTACTGCTCTTTTATTGAGTGTGTACTTTGGATCCACATGCAACTCTCTGAGAGGCGTCCGCGTGTGATTTAAATGCACAATATCCCGAAAAAAATGAACCGCTCGTTTTTCTTTCCTCCCGCCAGTCTCTGATTTTTGACGAGGTGGACCTATCGGACGCGAGCGTGGCCGAGACCAGCACCAAGAACATCAACAACAGCTTCACGGTGAGCGACCAGGACGGACGCGCAGCAAATGGATCCACGTGGACACGTTGGACGATTTGGTTCACTGTTTTCCCTCCTCAGGTGATCACTCCTTTTCGCAAACTGATGCTGTGCGCCGAGAGCAGGAAGGAAATGGAGGACTGGATCGGCGCTCTCAGGTCCGTCCAGAAGTGGGAAACCTACGAGGTGAACAGCTGGTCTCGTCATTTATTCACCCAGCTCCAGATGCTGTGATTCAAAACCTGGTGTTCGACCCTTTTTTTATTCTCTCCTCCCCTCCTCAGGCCAGCCAGTTCAACATGGAGCACTTCTCCGGGATGCACAACTGGTACGCCTGCTCGCACGCCAGACCCACCTTCTGCAACGTCTGCCGGGAGGCCCTGCCAGGCGTCACCTCCCACGGCCTCTCCTGCGAAGGTACACGCGCTAGCACGCGCTAGCACGCGCTAGCACGCGCCCTGAGCCCGAGATACTCTGCCGGCCTCAACGTCTTCACTGGGCGTTTCTATACGCACCAAAGGTCGCTCACTAGGACGCATCATCCGGCCGCATCATCACTTTTGAATTGAATTATACTACAAGTACTACTAACTCAGAGTCCAATATATCCGTGAGAAGCAGTTGATATGAACAATAAATCATTTTAGAAATGTAGAAGAGATATAAAATGTTATGAGATAAATGAGCGACATTTCAACTTTAATTAATAGGAACGTTTTTAAATGCAGCAAAAACAAAAATGTAAGATAAAATAATGTGAATACTCCTCCTAACAATATTAGTTGGGTACCGGTACAGATGGAATATTAGTAATACTACTAAAAATAATAATGGTAATAACAATTCTGATGATGATGATGATAAATGTATTTGTTTAGCACCTTTCGCATAACAAATGTATCACAGTGTTTTACAATGAATGAAGGGACAATGGAGAATAAAATATATTTGTTCCAATAAGATAACGAGATAAAAAAAATACATGGAATACATAACGTCAGATTATTGCAGAGATATTTAAGTCCTGTCTGTTACTCGTCGCTCCGCAGTCTGCAAGTTCAAGGCCCACAAGCGCTGCGCCGTCCGCTCCACCAACACCTGCAAGTGGACCACGCTGGCCTCCATCGGCAACGACATCATCGAGGACGAGGACGGGGTGAGCGCTCCTCCCGCAGACGCGGCCATCTTTTAACGGCCCAGCGGGTCCTCACACGCGTGTCCTCTGCGTGCGTGTCTCCTCCCAGGTCTTCATGCCCCACCAGTGGCTGGAGGGCAACCTGCCCGTCAGCGCCAAGTGCGTGGTGTGCGACAAGAACTGCGGCAGCGTGCGGCGGCTGCAGGACTGGCGCTGCCTCTGGTGCAAAACCATCGTAAGAGGGACCCGTTGGGAGGGGACGGGGGGGACGGGACGGCATTCGGCACAGAGCTGTTTTTTTAAATACATTTTGTTTTGTTCAACAATCTGACATGTTGATGCACCAACAGCACGACTTCCCTCTAAGACACGAAGCAGAAGGAACTTGACTCTCTCTGTGCCTGTGTGTGTGTGTGTGTGTGTGTGTGTGTGTGTGTGTGTGTGTGTGTGTGTGTGTGTGTGTGTGTGTGTGTGTGTGTGTGTGTTCAGGTCCACAACAGCTGTAAAGAACAAATGGGGAAGGTGTGTCCATTGGGTCAATATCGGGTGTCAATCATCCCTCCCACTGCACTTAACAGCATCGACTCCGATGGTGAGACACCTCGCGCGCACACACACACACGCAGACGCACGATGAACAACAATGAAAATGACCCCCGGCTCTTATAGTCTTCATCATACAGATGTGTAAAACACTTGAAACCTCC